TGCTGAACACTGTCCACAAAAAATCTGGAGACTATAACTGTAACAATTACTTTTGGTGTTGATAAAAAAAAGTCAGAGAGGAGTCTAATCAATCATTGAAAACACTTTGGGCAAATACATTGAAATTTTGATGTGACCCCTCAATAAGCCAAATTCATTGGATATATCTGCCAAGCAGTAGATCACATACACAGAAACAACCTGTTAGGACTGCTGTAAATTAAACCTGTTCCATCAAATCTATCAGCTCATGTAATTATTTACAATTACTGATAATTAGCTAATCATAATTCATTTAACTAGCAAACTGACACCTCACAGATTGAGTAATTAGAGAGGATATATAAATCCTGGGATGTTTACACATTTTTTATGTACTTTAAAGTTACTATGACAAATCTATGAAATGAAGTAAATGACAAACTTAAGTTGTCATTTTCAGGTTCAACAGCTTCCAAACCATAAATCAATTGTCATAGTTACACATTTATGTTTCCTGTAGTGTTTGACCCAGCACCTGGTTTGTTAAACCTAGTTAACTAGAGGGCAGCACCTGTTACCTCCTGTCCTACAATGTCAATCCACCTGTCTTCTATGACTGATAAAAAATAAAGAATGCAATAAAAATCAAGATACCTATTTTTAGTAGAAGAAATCTGAGACAAGTACCATAAAAGTTTCTCTGAACTGACCCATTCATTTTAACAGACATTTCACTCCAATATCAAATTAGTGAAACATGTATATCCAAACACCTCTCTAATCCAAACATCTCTCAATATGAGCACTTTTACCTGTCCCATTGGCATTTGGATTAGACAGGTTTTACTAAAATATGTGATTATAGATATTCATAATCTATTATCTTAGATAAATTTTAATCTGAAATTTTTACTTACTGATTTCATAAGTTTCACACCATGTACAACACTGCCACTTATGCAATAATCCGTCAATATCACTTGGGGTGATCCAAGCATATAATTTCACTTTTATAGACAAGAAGACTGCAAAAAATCCTTTGAAGTTAGTTTTTGATGTTTCCCTATGGTTCAGTGGATAAATCAGATCACTGCTCTGACACAACTATCTAAACACTCAAGATATGGAAACATATTTGAGCCACTTAAGCTCAGTGATGTGAAGGATGAATATCATCTAAGATACATTCAGTAGATTATTGAGGGTGCTTTTTGCAAAGTATGCCAATAAGGGGATAGTTTTCGGTTACCCCAAAGCCAAGAAGGTAGAAGTAATTACTATGGATGAAGCTCTCTTTTAAGATGAGAAATCAAACTCTTAAAATGGTACTTTTAGTAATGAGCCAAAATGGCAACATCTGAACCATGAAGAAATGAATCAATTATCAATAATTTCACCCAGAGGATTGCCACCCTAGTAGAAATACAAGGTCGGTAAACAACACAGAGAACATTCCATTGAGATACTGGTAAGCATATGCCAGACACAATTGTCTTCAAAATAACAGATTCGAGTTCTCATAGTTCATATTCACTTGTGAAACAACAATTTTTGCTACTTTTTAGCACAAAGGGGTGCCTCCTTTTATAGGGATTATTGCCATTCTGTGATAACCACAGGGTCCTGAAGGTGACCTAAAGTAAACTTCCACCAGCAATTGAAGGTTTTAAATAACAGTTTTTTGGCAGGATGTACTCTCTCAAGTGGTACCAGTTTGTGTATATTCCAATTTTCATGTTTACCTCTCTGATAATATGGTAAAAATAAGATGTAATTTCTAGTGTTCAAATCAGTAGATGATAAAACATGGTACTTGAAAATCTTGAAATCTCTGAAGGGCTCTCACCTAGTTGATTAATTGGTTGCCATGACAACATTTGGTGAGGTCAGGTACACACTTGTAACTATAACAATATGACATTAAACTATAAACATAACATTGGTAGCTTTTACACCTACTAAAAATATAATCTGGTTTGAATTCTTGATATCCAGTTTTAATTTGAGATATTGCATCAATGTTGCTATAGCAACCCAGCCACAAAAAGGAAACAAATGTATTTATAAAAGGTGGTGACTCCAAAAATAATTAGGTGAAATTCTTACTTATCTTAGAAAACAGCCACCCTACCCAAGAATTTACCCACAAACCTGTTGACTTCTCCAGAAATAATAACATGAATGTCTGAGTATTTCAGCCAAGTCTTATCATGAGGTTCAGGCGCTAGTAGTAATAATATGCAGTTCTTATACTTTTGAAAAGATATGCAAAGCATGGTGATAGGAATTATACCTACAAATACCCTTTCCAAATAGTTTGAATTCGCTTTTTAAAATTTAGAGCTAATCTAGTAGTAAGTATAAGGCTCTGTGCCTCGAGTTATCCTACAGATTACCTCGATATATAAATAAATTTTTATTATTACAGGTACTGACATTTTTATTCCAGACATGTTTCTGTTTAATCATTTAGGGTACGGGTGTAATAATAACTTAAAGCTCAAAACTAACATATGCTCATTTCTATAGAGAAACCCATAGCTGTAAAATATATCTGCTAATTTGACTGGTTCTGGCTTAAAGCAGTAATTTCTCACACACCTGCAAAATGGCAAAGGTTTCTGGACAACACAATTTTAAGACCACACAACTTAATGCAAGGTTTGACAGATTCATGGCCAAATTAAACCACAAAAATTATGTCTACTGCCAATTTAAATTCCATAAAATAATTGAGCTGGGGATTAAGCACATAGTGATAGTGTATGGCCTGTCCTAGTGTAAGCATGGGTATAACTGATTAATCATGATCCAATACTAGACATACTATTTGACAAACTTCAATATTATGGTATACGTGGTGTTGCTCTTGACTGGATAAAAAGTTATTTTAAAAATAGATTTCAGCAAACTTTATATAAGGAAACAATCTCTAATCGTGAGTTGATCACTTGCGGTATTCCTCAAGGCTCAATTTTGGGACCCCTGTTTTTTATATTATATATTAATGATATTTATCTTTCTTCTCCGACACTATTTTTCGTCTTATTTGCAGATGATACTAATTTATTGATCAAAGGCAAAAATCTACATGACCTGACAGAAACTTTAAACACTGAACTCAAACATATTGAGGAATGGCTGGTCACAAACAAATTATCACTCAATGCTAATAAAACAAAATATATCATTTTTTCCTCAAGACAAAAAAGATTTAATGCAAATAATATAAAAATCTATCTAAATGACAAACAACTTGAACAAGTTGATCATATTAACTTTCTTGGAATAACAATAGATAACCATTTGAACTGGAAACGGCATATTGCTTCTGTTAATGCAAAAATTTCTAGGACAATTGGTATTTTATATAGAGTTAAACAACTGTTGAATATCAGCGGTTTTATGAGTATCTATTATTCACTTATATATTCCCATCTTATATATGGCAATGTTATTTGGGGTGAAACATGTAGTTCATTAAATTCCCTATATCTTGTGCAAAAGAAATTCACCCGCATTGCAACAAACAGCGATTATAGGGCTCATTCCCTACCATTATTCAAACAGTTAAACCTTTTGAATATTTTTGACATACACAAACAACAGAAATGTTTATTCATGTATAAATGGATAAATAAGCTTGATAACTACCAGAAAATTTTTCCTAACTTTTTCAAAATGGTCCAGGCGAGACATGATCACAATACCAGAAACAAGGATTCTTATGATAAACCTAAAGTAAGGACGAACTATGGCATTTCAATGTTAACTTTCACGGCACCAACAATTTGGAATCAATTACCAAACAAGATTAAATCTTCTCGAAGTGTTCACATCATGAAAAGAGAACTGAAAAAGTACTTTGTCAATAATTGATTATCATTCGTATACTTTATATTTTGGGCTCTATGACACACAATTCATTTACCATCCATTACAAGCATTTGCACACAAACAGATCCCCCTCTGTTTCTATGTAGGCAACTTACCACCCTGTCGGGAATATACACAATTTGTGTCACCCGCTCATTGTATGTATTTCAAAACTTAGCTTACTGAATAAATAAATAATAATAAATAATAATAATAATAGAAGTTGACTTATGTCTACTCAGTCTCTAGTTCTTTAATGATTTATTAGTTTTCAATGTCACATAAGCATTGTAAGTTATGTTCTTAAGTATGTTGAAAGTGTATTTAGAGTTTTATACACAGACATGTTCTGTTGTAGAAGTATAGAGGAAAGCTAATTACCAACTGAACATTGCAAACCAATAAAACACATTTCTTTCAAATCCATATTCATATGACCTTTAAATGCCATAATTACCATCTCTGGCAAAAATACATTTACTTAAATAAAGTTTATGAAAGAGAAATAATAAAAAAACAACTTGTCATAAATAAATGGTAATATGTATTTGTCTTTCTTATTTTTAACTTGTTATGAATTACTTTTGTCTTTCTTATTTTCATCTTGTTATGAATAACTGCAACAGCGGGAGTTTCTTAACCTCTCATAAGATGGAAATGTGAATATAGCAACTCCATCTATCCTGAACAATAAGACTTGATTTCCCTATAGTGTCTTCAAATGGATATCTTCCACCAGTACAATTTCATGTTGAGAAAATCAAACCCATTCCCCTTTCAATCTTCGAAGCAAAAACTATTGTTCAAATTAAATCAGATGCGTTTTCTGAACATTGCATTTGTACACCATCTTATGCAATTGCATTTTTTTACTTTGAAAACACAATTCTATCTCTGATTCAAATTTCTTCTCTGATTCTAGAACTTAATGGTAAGAACCAATTAACTCAATAGGAATAATACATTACTGGGCCAATATATAAATCTAAATTGGCAACAACTAAGTATGGGGGATTGCTCAATTCCTTTTAGCATGATATTTTTCCATTCTTAAATCTCAGAGCTTCTCTGCCTAGTTCATTCACTAAGATGGACATCATCCATTTTCAATCATAACATTAATGTAAAATTGAATTACTTACCTCTGTGTCTCAATGCTGTTCCTAATTTAGGTGTCCCATGATGCACATGGGTATCACCCGTGAGTTCTGCGCTGCCACCAATTTTCCCGAGCTTTAGATTGCCATTGGTTCTCATACGAGGGCGCTGTAGTAAAGCCGTATCGCTAACTTGACGTCTGTGTGTATATGGGGATGGGGCCGGTGGGTTAAACACTGAAACACACAAGGTCACAATAAAAAAGGATATTCACAGTTAAATCTCTAGAATACCCAGAATGATGGATATTTGGATATTTCTGTCACAAATAAAATCTGTGAAGATTCCAAAGTGACATAAATGTATATATCACCTCCCTCTGGAGGTCACAGGGGCTTGTAGGCAGACTTAAAATTTCACATGGTATTTTATGTCAAGTAAAATGAAAAGTTCCATTCAAACCATTTTTAGAACCTGGTGTTCAAGGTTTAACAAGTTGATAATTGACTTCATGCAATGCACATGGGGTTTTGGCGACATCATTGCAGACACCATTGAGATGAAATTGAAAGTACACCCCTTTTATTAATAAACTGAAATACTCTTAAAATAGAAACCAAGCCTCCCATCTCTTTGCTTTTGCCTACCACAAAGGTTAATAATAAATATTATCTCAGGAAGTAGGTGTTTCACTTGCAATGTTGCCAGACATTTACCTACCTCCAAGTTCAGTTCATGTTGACATATCACATTCTTGGCTTATGTATCAAAACATTCCATCAAAAATAACTTAATAAACATAGCCTTTCTTCTCCATCATTAAACGATTAAAAAGAAATGTGTACTTAGACATTCCTTCTAAAATAACTTGTATAACGCTACAGGTAATCGTTCGACTTGTCATTAAACCAGTAAAATAAAGAAAAAATTAACAAAGAAAAGTTGGAGTAAAATCATCTGCATACTGTGACATTATAAACTCAAGCTTCATGGAGTTTTCCATTCATAAAATGATCCACATGCCGGATTAGATTTTCTACATGAAGAAGTAATGTGAAAAACTGAACCAACAGATGATAAATCAAGTTGTCATACTGTGGTAATAATAGGGTGGAGATCATATAAATATTCCCCACCCATTTGTTTAAAAATTTATGAAATGTAAAAATAGAACACTCAACTAATTGACAATAATCCAAAAATAATGGTAGCTAGTTAATTTCCTTTCCAAATAAATAAATAATATTCATTGTTTGCCTATACTCTTAAAATATTGTTTGTCTATACTGAAGCTAATCTAATGAAAATAATTTCTAAACAAGGAATGAGTTAATTTCCATATATTATAATAAATATATGGCTAATCAAAAAGAAAATGTTAAAGAATGCTGAATTTTCAAAATACTTTTTGACTCAATTTTCTGAATATTTTGAATTCTCATATTAGTGCAAAATTGGTATTCAGACAATAATAAGATTCAATACAATTTATATATAATCAATATAGTATTATGGTGATTTCTGCACATCAATATAACGAATTTACCCTTTGCATAAAAGAGAGCTTCATCTTCGGTAGTTTATAACTAGACTCTGCATGCAGGGTATAATGAATTTAAAGTTGATAAGAAAAGTAGTTTCCTACTTACTTTCTTCCTCGCAGAGTGGGCAATCCTCACTGTTAAACATACACGTGTAACATCTCTCGTGGCCACATGTGTCTATGAGCCTACGTTTCTTGTTGCTGTCAAAGCTGTCCTGGCAGGCAGGGCATAGTCCAGAGACAGATTCGTTGGAAAGGGTGGTATCCATGGCTTGCATGGTGAGTCACTGCATCTGAATATAGCAGGGACACGGTTATGGACAATGTTTGACAAAATATGAAATATGAGCAATTTTCTACCTGGGATTTTTCTCAAGTGGTCACAAAATTCTCTTTTTAACTATTCTAACTATGAGATGTATACGTATAAAACCATCTAAAATATCCTAATCTTGTTGTTTTTCCATGATTTGATAGCATGCATCAAGACTTGTTAATATGCTGTGTAACCAATTAATTCCATTTTTAGGAGGCATTATCATATAAGACCACGCCAGTTGATGTGCATACTCAGAAGAGAAAGTTGGATGACCATGTCATGTCTTACACAAATGAAAGATGAATGAATAATACCACTACAAGGTTACTCAAGCTTAAATGAGAAAATCCCCTTTGAAACTCCATTCATGAATACCAGTATTTTCTCACCGGATACATACATGAATTGCTTATAAAAAACAGAATGTATCAATATCTAAGTTTTTTGTTTTCATACCATTAACTGTTTTCAAAGTACATTCATAGATACATTCAGATACATATCAGTTGACAGTTTTTAAGGTAGAACCACACAGATAGCATCACCAGATCTTAGCTATTATATCTCATTTACATACAAGCAAAACACAACAAGTATCACCTCTAAGCATACTCTTCAGTCTCAAATATTTCATAATAAATTCTGCACTAAATTTTCATTTAGTGGAACATAAGACACATTCAAACAGGCCTCAAAAGTAAATAAAATACATTTTTAAAATACCAATAATTCTTGAAAGTCTTGCTATTCTTGTTTTTGCTATTTATTAATTAGGGTGGGTGGGCTATGAAGTGTTCAATAAAATATATTTCATATCAAATTTAGTGCTGAACTTTTGAGAAGACCTCTTAGTTATGTTTGTTTACAAATGTCACCTCTGGTCATTACTTGTAATTTGAATTAATTAATCAATCTTTAGGGATGTTAATTACATTTTTGAACAGATACATCTATGTCTCCTACATTGTTCTCATATCTACCTGAATTATATGTCATATAAATTTACTGAACACTGATCTCACAGAGTCCTGTTTTTAATATGGTTAACCAAAAATCAGATGAACATAAAATCCTGTTTTAATGTTTGACCATATTTGGAGTTTGTAGTGGCATGTAGAGCACTGTATTCCTTATATGATATGTTAATAATCGATTTTGAAGTTCAGATGTTTAATAAACAAGAAAGAAGAGTACAACAATTAAAGCTATGTTATTACCCACATACATATACATGTACATGTAGTGAATTACGTGACAAGTCCCCTTCGGCATGTAGAGAAAATCATCAACAGTATTCGTTAAAGTCAAGTACTTGTATTCGTAAATCATATAAATAATATGCCGTTTAGGGGTGGACTGCAATATCTATTTTTATTGGTGATCATATAAAAATATGACATATAAGTCCCATATAATGGAGTTATACATATAAAACTAACCAGTGGTCATATTCACATCTGCATGATATATAAGGATGCATATAATAATATGTACTGCACTTTCCAATGATATATCACATAATATAAGGTATCATGATTGATAAACCATGACGTCTCAATGCTTCTCAGCCAAAACTTTATGTTTCTAAGTTAAGGTCAGGGTGCATGTTCGGAATTTTGCTGCAACCCTCAAAAGGGTCACATGTTATTTTTGAATGATTTGAATCACTCCTTCTCCAGTGTCTACATCAATTGAGGAATGCAGAAAAATTCGGAACATGCATCCCGGCCTTAAACAGAAAGATTTGATAAGTAGCAGAATGTACATTTCAGGTGTCATATCAAAAAATGTAGACAAGCCCATGCATTCAATTACTTTAAAATATTTAAGAAGTGGTTAATTCTGGTTATTAAAGTTTCATGACCTTGCATTCCTCTCTGTCATATGTCTCAAGAGACACTTGCGATTTCAATTTCCATTTCAACCCTTTAGTGAGATAAGACACCAGGTTTATAATATGTGATAAGTCATATCACTTTCTATTCATTACTTATTAACTTTAAAATAGCCACAATCCTTTACCTGATTCCTTACAAAATATCCTATATTATCGAAGTAATAAAATCCAATGCCATACTTTTCTCAAACGTAAATACTTCCTTTTCATAACATGTACTACATGTAGAGTGTAAGTAAATGTACATTTAGTGTTGATCTACTGTATGTGAGTATCTAAACAGCTTAGGAGATAAGTCCTGTATGTTGTGTATTTTATGTATGATGACGTATAATAACAGGATAATCTCCAAACATGTGGTCACTCCCCGGTTATTCACAGTCAACAACACGAAGCACCAATCAGACGAAGCAATCACTTGTAAATCCAAGCGGTGAAAATTGGCCAAAAATATGTCCGGATGCTTTCCTAGTAATTTTTGGCAATGTCGCACTGTGTTTTATGTAATCAGTGGTTAATATTTCCCAGCATGCCTGCATAGAAGCAGTAAGCACTGATTGACTGCAGTCGAACCACATCATACTAAACATTCACAGCACATATTGCTTGTAATGAGGGATAATTAAAAAGATAATCTGGTTCAGATTTATTATAATCATCACACCTCATCTGAATACATACAAGTGACATGTTTGTATTTGCAGCATGGCAGTAGTAAGACTGTAATTGAAGACAAACTTTGCTACCATGGCTATATATGTACCAGGCCCGTAGCCAACCCCCCCCCCCCCCCATGGCCAAAAATTCTTTCAAGTTCATGTAATTTTTCACAATACTGATCATTTTTCAAGTGATTTTGGGCCAAATTTGTCAAAGTGAACCACTCCTGGATTTTTTCTGAAAGTGAATCCCCCTTAGCAAGAGCTGGCTATGGGACTGTATGTACTAATTGATAACTGAAATGGTAGTGTGTGATGTAGCACTATGAGCATATTACCTGTGATTCTGTTGAAAACTAAAATGAATGATCACTTGGAAGCTGCCAAACTGTTAATCTTTTAGATTTCCCCATAAATCCTCCACAGATTTGGCATCCTTGTAAATTGCATGTAAACGTTGTTTATGTCAGACTTCTTACAAAAATGCTACACAAAGGGCTATTGCACCAGTCAAAATAAAGCTGATTCCGGCTCACATGCAAATATGCTCGTTAAAACATGCGAAAGCTTGCTGGTTGTGACAGCATGCTGTGCTATTGAAAATGCTTTCAAAATGAAAGGATATCATGAAGTGAGAGTTTTGGCAAAATAGTAATGACCAAATGAGGCTCAAATGTCACACAGGGCATGCAGCTTTTACTACTACATTGTACTATTTCCCATTCATTGAACACATTTAAAATGAATGAAATGACTTTCCCCGTTCAATTTTGAAGGAATGCCAACATTAAACTTTCATTCAACAAATCAATATAATCCTAAAACCAATTTTGGACAACTCCCATCAGAGAAAAGCAATATTTAATCAGGAATTACACACTGGTGCTCATGTAAGAGTTCAAGGAATAAAAATGATTACACCATTTGTTGGAATTGATCCCTTATGGGGAATATCAGGAATAATCTGTCTACATCACCCAGAAAATCAATATGAACAGTCTGGTGGAGAATAAAGAGGCTTAAGAAGCTAAAGAAGCTCTCAGCTATTATGTCAATATGATGTAATCAGAAAATGATATGATGTTTTTGTTTGAGCATCAAACTGATCAGTCAAATGTAATGATCCTTTACAACTATCATTCATTTGAGATCTGAATTAGCATAGTGGGAAATGCAACACAAATTCTTTTTAAAATCCAACAAGAACCTTAATACATGTACATGTATATTGTATATTGAATATATATACATGTAATTTCTTGCTAATTAATCAAAATGGTCTACTAATAGTCTTGCATCAACCATGTATACAACATCCCCATCCTTTATCTAACTCATATGATAATTGGTTGGGAAAATAGAGACTTATGCAAGACTATCAATTTTGTTGGTGGTTACGTTTCTTCAATGAAAACAAGTGTTTTCAATTTAGCTTGAGGTTCAATGAAAATACCTCCAGATCATATCAATACCTTGTTTATATGTAATTGTCTGGTATCCATTCATCGGGTAAATATTTTCATCTGATGGTAGCCTCATCTAGCACTAATAGGGACTCAGCTACCTGCAAAACATTAAAAAGATTCTTATTTTTGATTCATAATGATTTGGTTATATCCATCCTTGAATTCAAAGATGTTTTAATATGTATGATCCCGTGAATTTTGAATAGCCAACCTTAGCTGCCATGAATATGTCAAAATCATAATAAAATCAAAGCAAACATAAAATATATAAGTTTTTATTGAAGATACCTTTTATTCGGCTTTACATATCCGTTATCATCTAGATATATAATAACTAATTCCAAACCAACAATTTGTAAATCTTTATTGCGGTGTATTCATTTAACTTTCTCCTCATCCTTTTGTGCGGGATTCAAGAGGGTGCCTCATGTCATGTGAGTACTGAACCTATACATAGATTTCTTTGTATTTTAGTCAGGTACTAAGATCATGACATTCACTGTATAAAAAACACTCAAAGTTAGCCCAGGCAGAGTATTCGGTTTCCAACAGTTAAACTTTTTGAATATGCTTTCTTTAGTTCTATTAATCTCCGTCACTTTGATGAGTTTTGAATGAAGATCATTAGCCAAAATTTACATTAATTTTACACTCAAAGAGGAAACCCTAATTTCTTTCAAAACTTTAATGATTTTAAAAGTCGTTAAAAACAACTAAATACAGAACATTTGATGTGTTGTATTGTAAAGTAAGAACTTTTAGAAATTAATGAAGTAATTATTTCTATTCAGACTGAAAGGTGTTAGTTTTCTATCTGACTGGGTTTCCATAGAAAATAATGATAAAGCAAAATTTTACTGGCACCTCAAGGGCATGGTGAGGTCACTAAAATATTAGCTTCCCATCAGCTTTATTTCCTCTTTGGAAATATTTAAGGCAATTTCGCTTCTTGGAATTTAATGAGGAAATCACAATTTGCTAAATGATAATTGAAATCTTTAATCCTACTACTATATTTAACCAATCATTATGATTCAGAAGATATCTATTTCATATCAGACTGGATCCATACCACGAGAGCAATATATTTTTAACTACCATTTTCAAATAGTTAAATTCTATTAATAACTTTGCTTCTTTCAAAGACCCCTGGGCTTCATGGTAGCTTTTAGCCATATACAGAAGAAATGGGAGCAATAGAATAGTATACCAGAATAACCTAATAATTACATAATTCACATCATTAATTATATAATTTCATAATTTATATCTCACTCATACAAAAATAGATACCTGTATATTCCATGAGTTTGGCACACTTTCAATGTTAACAACATGTACAGGTATATTTATATATAGGAGAAGCAATTAACCTCTCAGGTGAATCAATCCACTAATTACAACACCTCAAAGCTTACAGGTATACTCTGCAAATAGACCAACAGGCCAAATACATATCTGGTCAGGGTCTAACAGTCTTGCACCAAACCCCTGTGTTAATTGGCCTGATCTTCATTCTTTCCTAATACTGTACATACAGGTTAAATAGAGGGAAAAGTCAGATTTGGTGTAAGACTAGTTAGTGATCCCTATCTAGAAGCATGTTATGATATCATGATATCAATCAAAACTCTTAAAACCGCAATATGTGGTTCCTTCGATATTCAAATAATGTGTTTGCAGGCTCCTAATGTTTCACATGAGATAATTACCAAAAATCGTCCAAAGAGTGACCATGTTGACAGTTACCTGATATTCTACTGAACATTCCTTAGTTAACTTTCAAAATTCTTATACTCATCAAATTGCAAGTTCACAATCCAAATACAATGTTCAAATAAATCCTACCCTAACTAATGATCAGCTTCATCTCCCTCTCTTAGTAGTTTGGCTAGCTAAAGTAGATGGGGATCATTGGGGTAAACAAATCCTAAATCAATCCATGAATTTGAATATAATCATACAATTCTAAACAGCATTGCAATGGCATAAACTATTATTTCTACTGATTTGCACACTATAATATATGTCAAGACCATCCCTCCTAAAATATTTTCTATAGTGATAATCCCCACAGCCAACATTGAGCAACAAGTGCTAGATGAACTCTGCCATCTGGCATTTAACCCTACGCAAGAAACATCATATAGTCATTGTCTCCTCTTTACACATTCAGTAAACCCACAGAGCCAATCAGGACATGTCGATCCCAGAGATGGTTCTCTATGTTTTTTAACATTGAAGACTGGTTCTGCAGTGCTTTCTGATTGGTTAATTGGCAAACTGTAGATGATCAGTTTTAGTTCGTAGATTTGCTTGAGAGAAAACCAAAGGGCAGTCTCAGACATTATAGTTTCCTGAACAGTTGTGTACATACTTTTCATGTAGCTTTCTCTACTAAAGATGTAGGAATATTTGTGAGAGGAGCTACAAAGGCATGACGCAAGACTACTGCTGCAGAGGAGTTTAGGGTCATGCTAGGGACTTTTTCTTTTTTAATATAAGAGAACCTTTGAGCCCACCTTTCTTCAGATTACCTGTGAAGGAAAGTCCATTTAGTAATAGAAATGCACAATCTTAAACTCATAATTTGAGTAATTGGTCAGAGACCAGGGGTCAGAGAATATTCAAAAGTAGCTCCAAAAAATTCATACAGAAATTCTTCATCGTACTAATAAACCCTATATTTCATGCTGCATATTTCTCTCGATTCTCGATGTTTTTCTCTCTCTTGTCTCCAAATACATCTTTTAAAGTACTGAAACATAACATTGGCTTATAGACAACATTACTAAAAATAATTGGCATTTTGACTTCCACTTTTACTATCATAAACATGTCTGTGTTTTTGTTTTATATCTTCAATGATATGTTTAATATGCCACAGACTTTGAACTTCCCAAAAAAATCTTGATATGATGATACCATATATGGTCACAATATCAATCATCTCATCATTAGGGTGCCCTTTTCTTACACTTTTTAATAATGTAATCTGTACATAACAACCAATGACATCTATGCCTCTGGATATCGCTTTTATAGCAGTTGCAATGTTTAAATTATATTTTGGTAGAGAGTATCTAAATGAACAAGGTGTGGAATTTAATCATCTTTATACAGTATATACAGTTTCGCCTTTTCAACAATTCTCATTGTGTTAACTAGGATGTTATCTTAAGGGGAAGTGTTGACTGGAAATGCAACTAACGTCATCAATTTTAAATTCTTCTTTCATGAGAAAGAGATGCTTTAATAAAACTTTATATGAATCAATATGTAAATTACAGTGAAATTTTCACTAAAAAAATAAATTAAACTTAGAGATGAGAATTCAGCATTGATACTGAAAGAAAAAAAACTATAGAAGTTACATGCCTTTCATTTTAAAAGCACATTTCTAACAAGGCATTAATATGCAAAATTTCACCACCAGCCATTTGTTCCAGACACAAAATACCGACCACCAAACACCAACCATCAAACACCATCTACAAAAAAGTTGGAGACTATAACATAAACTCAATACTTGTGGTGTTGATATAAAAGTGAATCCAAATTGAATTCCTTGGAGACATTGCCTCCTTAAGGTCATCTCAGTTAACATCTCATATCATCAATAAATGTAATCATTATCTGATGATTTCACCCTGAGATCAAAAGTTATAATGTATTGCTGCCAATACTACTTGAAAGCACATGTAAATCTTTACTTTATCACTAACTTATGACCACCACTCCCACTTTTATTATAAACAAATAATTAAAATTTCAAAAATCTTATCTTGGCAATATGGAGCATTTCAAACTTTTATGATAGACATCATAAAAATCTCAGGCATCAATATCAAGCACTTTTACTATAACATCATAAAAATCCCTAAAACCGCTGATGACCCCCTTCATTTCAATTTTCACATACATACTTATCTAAAACTTGCAATATTAGGCCAAATATAAAATAAAGACAGTTTAATCCAGAAATAGAAACAAGTGATATCAGATCTGGTAATAAATTGTCAGTAAGAGTAAGGCATTGACAGACAAGTTTAGCATTACCATATGGAGCACTTGGCTACAGCAACAACAGTGGTTTGTTCCCACAGTTTCTTGCCACATGAACTTGACCTTTTCAAGTCTTTATCTTGTGCAGCTGAGCACTCTTTGTATTTTGGTAAGTCAATCCTACAGAGAAACTCCAAGCTATGTTGTTTTATGTTTAAGGTAGGCGAAGCACCATGGATAATCTGGTTAATTAATTAGTATTGGATGATACTAGCATTATGTGCAAACAGGTGAATAGTACATCCACTCTTCCTAGCTCAAGCTCATGTTAACTGATTTTAATTGTGAACTTTGCTGAATTAACAAATATTTTAATCCAATTCTTGCACATTTCAATTCGAGTCAATACTAAGGGATCTGATTTTAGAACCATTGAAACTTTAAGATTTAGTCGTTTAGTCACAATTTCCCATTTATCAAAAAGAAGAAAATGATTTTCTATGAATCAAAAGTTACATCCATGCATACCAAAAATGGGCCCCATGTAGGAATTCCGAAAATTGACAAATGACTTTACTGATTACCAGTCTTCTGACACCTCTTACTTCATTCCTTTATCTGGAATAGTGCTGAAGAGAATACACAAGATATATTTCCTCTCTAATTCAACTATGCATCTTATTTTTTCTTGGTGAAATAGGAAGATGTGATCAGCATATATAATATACTCCTGGGATGACTTACAATTATCAAGATGCAACATATAATGGTATAACATAATTGCTGGATCTACAGTCTATACTCACAGGCTTTGGATAGAGAAAGACCCTAATAAATCAAAATGGTATATCATGGCCCTCTCTATGGTGCAAACATCATAACTCTACTTAATCATATATCAGACTCAACATTATTGATTAAAATCAGTCCTTACCTTATTCAGGATTCCTATAGATTCACTATACACACTTTACACAGTCCTTTACTAAGTATATTTTTGGCCATATTCCTTGATATGTCCTGAAGTGTTATGATACAACTGATGATACATCTTCAGTACTCTCCACTACACTCAATGTCACTAAGAAATTGTCAACATGATTCAAAGAAGTGTGCCATGTGTTATATCATAATAGAGTTATTAACTTTATTCCACACTTTACAATAACCAATGATAGAATTCAACACAAAAAGCTCCCCAGTCCTGTGTAGAAAGACATGTATGTAGGGGGTGGGGGTATTTAAAGTCTCAATACAGATGTAACTACCTTGAAGTCAAAGACTACTCACAATCATTAAATATGTCTACCTTTTTAGATGCAAGATCAAACTTTTCAGATGCAAGATCAAACTTTTCAGATGCAAGATCAAACTTTTCAAAAGGGTAAGAACTAATGTCCTGTTCAGAATTGTTTTCTTTTGTCATAAAATATAATGACATAATGTCCCAAGATATTACACAAAAGGAGTGCTAGTCACTCTCTCTGAAGCCAAATCCTCAGGTGAATCGATATAACATCTTGTACTTAGTACAATGACATGCGTGTAATAGTTTACAAAGTCTGATCTAAACAACAAATCACAAACACCTGATCAAATTATATACCAATATAAAGCCAACAATCTGTTGGTAAATTCAAAAATCACAATCCCGTGAATACATGTACAAGAAAAAGAACATGTCGTTGAAGTCGGAATACCAGTTACTACACTCTAATACACTCAAGGAGGGGTTGTAAGATTAAGCCATCTTTATAAAAGCTGGATCAGGTTAGGATAAGGTAAATAAAGCACAAAAGATTCATGAATAATGTTCCGTGCGTCATTATATATAAAACATGAGTTGTTTGAGTTTAAGCTCTACCTTACAACTGTCCTTTATGCCATATTTGCACTTGGAAGTTAAAGAAATATTTAGACAGTTCTGTCAAGTTTGCAGGCTTCTTAAACTGCCAAACCTCCTTCTATTGGGAAGCAATGACGATAAATAAAATCCTTTCATGATAAATTACACTTTGGATATTAACTTTCACATAAATATAATAATGATGCATAATGCATAATAACCCCAATTGTCAAGTATTCAGTCTGTTACCTCATTATTTACTTCATTTTTTCACTTACCTTTAAACCTTTATCGAAGTGAACAGTTCTGTGTAGTTATAAAGACTCACTCTGAACAATTCTTAAAAAATATATATAAACAAAAGTGTATAGTCACACTTATTTTCAGGATTTGTTGCCCCTAGCAAAGCAACCACATTAACCACCTCCTGTTCCTTATCCTAAGTTTTACTAATAAGATATACAAGGGGTCATAAAACTTAATGCCTTAATCCTTCCAGTTACATTGTATGTATATATTACTATAACTTTTACTGGTATATCATTTCATTTGTAATATGGTGAAATTAGTCACACATAATGGGGACAAACTATTTTATCAACTTAGACTCTTTGAAAGCTTCTTGCATTTAGCTAACTTACCAGTTTTTATTATTTTTGCAATATAGCATTATTAGATTAACAATATATTTCATATTCCTATGAGGAAATATCTGACAAAAATTCAAAGTAATTACAGCAAACTTTATTAAATTCCCTGTAAATGTGTTAAGGCTCAAAATATCTTGTTATTATGAAGAACAGTACAGCGCTTTATGACCAAATAAACTTCTTATCAAAGTTTAGTAGGATTTTCTGAATTCTATATAAAAACATAATAGTATAATATAAATCCAATGAAGTACTAATGTACATGTTAACCTAACTACTTTACGGGTAACTTAAAAGTTTGATCTAGGTTTTATGCTCTAGCTTTTCAGATCTCGTGTTTGTAAACCTATAAGGCTACGTCACTAAGAACAATAAATGCTTCCGGTTAATTGAAAACCCTTAAAAAGCCACTTCTTATTCATTCTAACAACTAAGAAGCTGCGTGAGTAATAAAATAACTAGTCTTTTGATCCATAAAAGACGCATATCTTTTAGGAGCAGTCTTTTTGATTTTTTACCACAAGAGCTTTTGATGAGTTTCAAAGGAGATGAATTATTTTGAATGATGAAGTCTGAATGAGCAGTATGTCGCAATGACCTTACATTCATTAACTGGCGATGAAATGATATTTTATAACCAAAATTATCTGGATTTATCTCCAAGTCATATCGCATCCCAAATGAGAAGGTCCACTGGGCAAAAATAACAAGATTTTGTGATGGTGATTCACACTTTATTTGATTAGTAGGAGTAAAAGTGATCCTAGGGCCTAAGGATAAAATTAAAACTCATAATCTAACGAAATGAGGGACATTTTAATTCAATTTAGAAATTGTTTGATGAATAGGATCACCATACACTGTACACTATCTCAAAAATTCCCATGAAACAGGAGTCGAATAGCAGAACATGCCAAGATGTCTTCCTAGAGCTATTAATGCTTGTTGTAGAAAATAAATTGTGGCTTCATAGCAGTCACAGTTCAACAAATTCCTCACTTCACTGAATCCAATTACCAGATACTTTATAAGAATGCCCACTGCAAATTCCCATAGCACATTTTAACCTAAAAATGTCATGGAGCGTTCACCTTATAGGGGTGTTCCAGTTGAGAAATTTTATTCAGCTTTCCATGTGGATATAATGATACCATACAATTTGTACCCTACTCATGTGATCCTTATCAATATAATCAGAACTCCGCCTCTCTATTTAATGGTTACACATTATAAATGTTCTCTGTACTTTTTAATTAAACAATAAAATACTACTATGATGCATCAGTTGAGTTAAGGGCCAAATAAAAAGGAAATGACAATTCATAGAATCCAGGAATAAGATGAACTCTATTATAGTATTCACCAAATTTGTCTGCAACCGCAGTATACATCATGTATACCTAGTTATTGATATATTTACAGGAGCTCTTAGTATGATTTTAGGGATAAGGGTCCAACTTTATTATCTTGTTATCTTTATCTCATAGCTCCTGATTCTACATGTTCAAACATTTTGGTTGTACACTGTATTCATGATTTTTGTAGTCTGTACTGTACCTCTTTAAATTCTGTTTTCCCATGGACCTCTATCCCTAAGATACTATTATAGCATGAAAGAACTAACCTTGTAATATATACTGGTTGTTGTGTAAATCCTCTTGTAACTCAGTGCTAATTGTTGATTCGTATATACTATAGTTGATCTCTACATGTAACTCCACTTCACTCAACTTGCTGTAACTCTACAATGTACAGACACAATTTAAATTAATTTCAATTTGAGATGATTAAATTTTTCAAATATTCAAACTCCATATTTATCTATATCTAAACATGAATTGACATTTAACCCACCAAATCACAATTCCTCCTCTAATGTTATTCACTGATAATATGAAGTAAATCCAAAGTGGTGAATAAGTCTCAATATACTATATCTAGTACTTCCTCAATCGTCCACTCTCAGTAACTGTATGTGTGTAAATACTACTGAGGAGGCCTAGCCAGATTATTTGACTATTGAAGCAGGCTAATGTGTATTCAGCGTGTAGGGTTTATACGTGATCAAACCAGTCTTAACACAGCTCATAGTAAAATCGTCTTTTTATGAATGGCACTTAAAAGATTTGAATGTATGACTGACTCATTGATAACAAAGTTTCACAATTATTGTAGACATTAAAAAAAATACAGAAGAAAGGCAGTTAACATTTATAAAGTGTGAAAGTACATGTATTGTTCATGTTTTGAGCAAAAAAGAATCGAGGCCATGAATGCAAAAAAACATGCGATATTTATTGTAATTTAAAAAAGCTAGGATATATATGATAAACCATGGTACCTCCTTTTTTCAACGTTTGGAGCATCTTGTAACTGAAAGATGTAATGAGTATCAGATGGAATGTTCTACAAAAGAATGTCTGAAACAAATTACCTTGGTTAACATGATCATTAGATACATACTCTAAATCAGTACAGTTTATAACAGTTGAAAAAGGATCCAGACAGGATCCGAAACGTCCTGTTTAGTAAAATAAAGGTTGTGAAAATAAGAAAAAATAGTTTTGTGATTTAATAATCCAAACTGAAGAACATGTAGTCAACGTGTTTGTTATCCTCTTGATATCATTTGATAGTATAAAACATAATAAATATTATACATGTATAGTAATAGATATATATGTGGATTGCTACTTCAATATGCTACCACATGGTCAAACAAACAACTCTTCAAAAAATCCTTGAATTTGTAGATCAGATTTTTCAAAGAGTTAGGGGTGACATCTTTATGAATAGAAGTGAAAATATTTATATCATTTGGATAATTATTTCAACATGGTAATTATTCCAATGATCATTGGTAGCATCAACTCCCATTGTAAAATAAGATGTGTTCATTGAGGCACTTGAATGATTAAATTTTGAAAAGGAATACAGAACTTTTTTTCATATAATTTGTACACGTGTATACTGTATTTATGCCAGAATTGAATCTTACAGAATAAAACCTAAGGTTAGTAGAAGGGAGTTTAAGCTTGCATATAAAATCAAAACACCAACCTATATGTATGATCATTGGCTAATGCAAATGCATCGCTTAAATAATTTTTGTTCAGGTTTAGGTAGTGAAAAACATTGCAAGCTTAAACTCCCTATTGTCAGATGATGTACCAATATTATACCAACAGGGCATACCTTAAATTAGTGTTAGCTACAACGTCCTCAAGGTGATACTATCTCTATTATTACAAAAAAATTGTTTGGTCTGAGGCCTATGTTGCGATATAATTGCTTTATAATAGATATTCAAAAGTATTACTTTTATCAGCTTTTATCTGATAATGCTAATTCCTTCAGTACTTTTTCTGGATAGATTTATTTTTATGTAAGATGTATTGTATTAACAAAACTATTGCCAATATCACTTTTGTCTACCAGTTTTCATCTATCCTAGACATGCGACATAAGTGATATTTATACCTTTTATTGCTATTATCATTTTTAATATCATATATCACTTTTTTACTCAGTGTGAATTCATTCTTAGATTATCAATGTGAAGTTGGAGGCTTGGAGCAACTGATTTCTTGTGAATCAAGATGTGCTGGGGCAAAGAGGTAAAGGTTTAAAACCTATCGTTTCATTTTCACATAATTTCAATGTGACAAGGCCAAACATTGACTGTTCATTTGGCTCTAATTTTTGATCCAGGCCTCCAAAAAGTTAACTTGGCCTAGCAAGGGCATTCAATACATGTAAATCAGTTGATTGATAATCCTTAGTACTATATCATGAGAACTGATCCACTGTATATCAAAACCCCATAGAGAAAGACAATTAAAAAACACATGCTTGTTTTATATTGTTACTTGAAGTTAACATGTCAGAGCCAACATGTATATGACATCACAAATTATGTTAAGGAATTTAGAATTAATCAGTGACATTTAGATTATTGTTTTTTTAGTGATGGGACAATATGTGACTGATGTCACGGATGATTGGAGATGTGAAAGGGTAAAATTTTCTTGTTCAGGAACCAAAATTCTTAATTCTTGTTCTGTGTTCCGTTCCAAGAGCATAATTCCACAGGTCAGAAACACAATCGGGTAGCGAGTAGTGTTGTCGCGATTAATCGATACATTGCGAAATTCATTGCCAAAAGTGATTCTGGCGATGCATTGATGCCCGAAACAAAACATTGATGTTTTTTCCAAAAAATAAATCTGCTAAAATCATGTTTTCCTATTTCGTTTTCATGCAAATACCATACCTTTTTCATTCTTTAGTTCATCTTCCAATATTCTCTGATATGCTGTCACTTTAAAAACGTTTTAGCTTATTGAAATAAAGCAATAACCTCCATTTTTACATTTGTTTACGCATGTGACCAACCAGAAGTATCATACTATTATTTACTTCTGGGCTTGAGCAAGCTGTTGGTAGCACTTTCATATTGGCACCCAGAAAAAATGCAAGGCTTAAGATACAGATGGGAAATCAGTCTTATTAATTAGGTATACCCACTATATGTCTGAGGAAGATATCATTTTTTTGAAAGATGAATGATAATTTTTTTATAAATTTTCATGTATCAAAATATGCCTTGTTCTCTATGTAACAAATTCCCAAGAAAAAATCCACATTTACATATATACTTCAAACATGTACTTGAATAGAGTAAGTTAAAGTAATTTGGCTGCATTGGCAAGATTAAGGAATTTGCTTTAAAATGATATGCAACAAGTGTGTCCATAATAGTGTATAGAGTTTTTATAACGGCTTGTAGCACACAACCGTTGGTGTAACATTTCATTGTAAATTTTATGTTAAAAAAGACTGAATTTTTCAACATATTTTCCAATCTTTGCTTACAGTTTTTTTAAGATGATATCAAAAATACGGAATGTTAAAATTCTGTCACTAAAAAACTTATAGAAAAGGCTGTAGTGGTTCCTGAGATATTGGCTCTCAAAATAACTAACTGATTTTCCGACACGCAAATGTCTTTTCCGAAGAGCATGTGTATTTTAAGACTGAAGTAATATGATACCCTAAAAACTATTTTAAAACAAAATGCATTTAGTTTCTTCAATATTCAAAACAAATAAATAGCTTTGAACTGTCATATATACCTGTAAAATCAATTTTAAAATTCCGACACAAGAAAAAAGTCCTTTCCGAAGAGCTCTTCGGAAAAGACAAACTCAGTCAAAACAGTGCATTGACCAACAATATTGAAGAGAAACACACTGGAATATATTTTCTGATGAACTTTTATACATAAAATATCTTTACTGAAGTAACTAAGACTTAAACAGGAACTACAAAAGTAAATGTGTCCTTTCCGAAGAGCAATTCAGTCTCTGATTAGGAATGCTGTATTGGATGTCTATAACTAACTTTTCTACTGATGTGTAAAGGCATTAGCACAATGTTTACAAATATTACATTGAATCTTGATTTGAACAGTACTGTAAAACCCTTTAAAACACTCAAGTGTAAAATTGCAAATGAAGAATGCCGCAAATATAAAATTGTATCTTCATCACTATTTTTCCTGTGATAATAGGTTCGATTCACTGACAACTAGATAACGGCAACTCCGCGGAGTAGCAAATCCCAACGAACAAAATATCAATTACCGAATTCCAATCAATTATACTCATTACTTTGGTTGAAAATGAAAAAATTAGATTTAAGAATTGCAAATTCCTGCAAAGCAGCCATTTTGAATTTTCTGAGGTACAAATCTGAAAAATAATACCATAATTGTGATCTACTCCAAAATTCCTTCAATTTGAGTATAATATAGCCATACTTTGAAGGGATCGAAAAATTATCGCGAAATCGTACATTAGACGGCCATTTTTAATTTTACGAGGCTCAAATCAGAAAAAAGATACAATATTTGCAATCTACTCTTAATTGCCTTTCATTTGAGTATAATAAAGTTATACTTCAGAAAGATCTAAAAATATGCGAAAATTTCTGTTTTCCTGTCCCCCCATACATGGCCCCTGGGGGTCAGGATGAAAAACACGGAATATATGTGAAATAGATAAATGTTGTGAATACACTACCAAAATTTCAAACAATAATATTAATTACTTTGGTTTAGATGGAAAAATTTATGAGTTTTGCGAAAAAGTCCCGTCATTTTTAAAGCGGCGGCCATCTTGAAAAAAATTTGTTTTGCGTAAAACTATTCACCAATATACATCTTTCCACTAAATATGAAGAAAATCTGTCAATTAGTATTTGAGTTATCTTCCGGACAGACGGACGGACTGACTGACTGACGGACAGACGGACAGATGGACGGAGGGCTTCACTATATCCCTAACAAACTTCGTTCGTTGGGATAATTACCACCAACAATTGAGTCGTTTCTGTGCATAATGCTGTTTCATAGGCCTACATGTCCCCAGCCCAGCAACTAAAAAACTGCAAGTACATTCATGATAGCCTTAAAGTGATGACTTTAATGATGTTTTGCCCTATTATCGCCCATATATTTACCTATGAAAAATCACAGTTAATGATGTAATCAGTGGTAAATCTCGAAAACATGAATACATGAATAGAAACAAATGTACAATCTCCGAAAATTGCTCCCTCAAATTCAATCTGTTAAACAGTATTTAGCAATACACTAAAAAATGTCCTTTCCGAAGAGCTTTGGACAAGTGTAGTTTCATCATATGGTACACATATATACTATCATGATTGTCTCATATATAATCAAACATTATTAAGGACTTTGTAATGATTCAGACAGAAGGAAAAATCAACAGGATATTCAACATTATTAAGTATTATCGTAATTGGAAAAATGATTGAACTTTTTTGCCGAAATCACGGGCCAAGTGACGAGATTGGTCTTCCTAATTCATTTCTATGATAATGATTCAGATAAAAACTATTAGTTATTTAGAACCATATATGTGCATGCTTTAAAACAAAAAATGTGGAACATATATTGAAACTTATATATACCCTTTATAATTGCAATTATGTGTGTGTCCTTTCCGAAGAGCCAAAGTTGGGGCATGTAATATCATCCTGATTTTTTTCAATATCGATGCAAAAAGTTATCTCTGGGTCAATAAAAAATGAAAGGTAAGACATTTAGTAAAATTATGATTCAGGAAAATGTTTTCTTCTAGCAAGTTTGAAAATCCACTTCTATGGGACTAAAAGTGCTACCAATAGCTTGCTCAAGTCCTTCTTGCATTCAGAATTTTTTTATAATGGCGGTAAATTTGGTAAGACTTTTCCCTATGTACATCGCGATGTGCATTGAATTTAACTATTGAAAATTGCTGATGTACGATTATGGCACATCGCGACAACACTAATAGCGAGATACTTTCCTGAAAAAAGCAAGGAATTTGACACATGCCTTCATACTTTATTTTGTACCAGAATAACATGTGCAGGTATAGCAATTTTTTACCAAAATGTTACTTTCCAGCTGTACCTACATGTAAGAAAATTAAAAAAATTGAAAAATTTTTCATGCACTATGATTATTTTTAAAATGTAATGTTAGCCTAGCCCTACTATAAATCTAAGTAAAATTGCGATATATGAATCCTTATACTTACCATTTTGTATCATTATCGGCAAGTCTGCGTAGAAATTACTCTATTCCATGTAAAACAGCTAAGCTAAAGCTAAAAGACTTTTGAAATCTAAAATGGTTCAATCACACTGAACGAAACATTTTACAGGTGTTCTGTGATTCAGGGTTGCCCGGGAAAATAATATTTGTTCCATTCCAGACCTTTGCAAGATCGAGCTATTTATAGCATCATACGAAAATAAAGTAAAAAAGTGAATATTATTAACTTTATCTAGAGACAGACAGACAGCAATGTCAAAATCACAGAGTCTATGATTGACAGTTGAATTAACAATGCAACATTTCCGTTCGTTGTTATACTGTATCTTCAAAATGGCTGACGGAATTGGAAGGATTTTGTCTAAGGCCGACTTCGACCCAGATAACTGTATGTATATCAAGTAAATGTATGTTAATAGGTCCTATATCTTATACAGTATTCTATCCTCATAAAGAAATAAACCTGGGATTTTTTATCCTTTTTCAGTCTTCCCCATGCGATTTGATGAGCACTTCCGGGTTTCAGATTTCTCCTTTCTAATTTTTTTGTGGACCTTGTTCGGTGCTCGTTGTCTCTAACAAATGACAGGTGGAAACATTTTGCATGTGGATTATGCCTTGTTATGATTTGTTGTTTGGAGGTGGGTACATTAGAAAGAGTTATTTAGATCGTCCAAAAATGGACCATGTCCAAGAATACCCCTACATGCTGACATGTATGTTATATGCACATAAGTATAGGCCTACATCTAACGATGTTATCTGGAAATCTTCCGTAAATACAATGAAGATCTACCGAAGGTCGTTGCCTATAAAGTTAGTCAATATCACAATGCATGCATTGTCACCCATCATCTCAGTAATTACTGTCACCTCACTACTGGACATAGTCCCAGTCATCTCAGTTTTGTGCAACATAAACAATTTAGGACACTTGGAATACTTCTACAAGACTAAATTCCTCAAAAACGCATCTTAGAAGACTTAGAATAATCCAGATTAGCTTAGAATAATCTACGGACCATTTCACTGTTTTATTTCGTCAGTAGAACCCCCAAAACTAAGAAATCAGAAGACCATTGTGCAATAATATATGGAAAAGTATATTCATATTGTACATGAATGACATTTGTATATTTCAGATTATTTAGTTTTTTGTGCAATAAGCCTATGCCCTATTGTAATTTAAAGAATTTCAGCCATGTTAATCTTTTTGAAAATACTATGGCAGAGAAGCATCAAAATATGAGACAAAATATGTACAATAGGAATATATTTTTCCATATATTATTGCACAATGATCTTTTGATTTCTTATTTTTATAGGTTTTACTGACGAAATAAAACAATGAAATGGGCTGTAGTGTATAATTTAAAAAGATAAAACCTCTGAAATTAAGGCCACAGACATTTGCAAATACACATATTAAAGGTGCAACAAGGACTGTAGAGGATATTATTTACTTTCATTATCTTTCCTTCTCCACCAGATGATCGTTAAAGTTATATGATTTATATGTGACATCTGTTTCATTAAAACATGTGGAAATCGCTTCATCTATCTCTGAAAATACGAAAACAAAAACACCATAAATCTTTCCAATATTTAACCTCTTTTTGATAGTACATGGTCTATCAAACAGAATGTTAGATATATTGGCCTGGAATCCAATGTCAGTTTCAGGAGGAAATCATTAAAAGGTCAGAAAGCAGTTTTTTGCTGTCAATGATGAGAGCCATTATTTTCGTTTCGGAGAACATTTTGGTGATTTGTTTGTGTGTATAAGGTGTGTTTTGTTTAAAGAAGATGAAAATATTATATTTTTAACTGTAATTGCACACTTGGCTGTAATATTTCATTATAATTAAATTCATTATAAGCCCATGAACATGTGAATGGAATGGAACCCTGGCCATCCCTTTAGAAAGAGAACATTCATATTAAATTGTTTAAAAAATACTTTACCAGGCTGTTCATCTAAATAAAGCCATATGGATATGAATGTCGCACCCAAATGAAGGTACATGGGGTAATGATTGACTTCATCAATTTAATTCTTATCCATTTTCCGTGTTTAATGGCAGTTGTGAGCAAACTCTCCCAAAATGGTGAAGATGAACTGGAAGATGTCCGACAAAAGATACAAAAGCTGTCAGAAGAGACATCATTAGCTTTAAAGAGAAATGTATACAAAAATTACAGTCAGTTTATTGAAACTGCAAAAGAAATTTCAAGTAAGTATACTCACCATTGACTCACTGAGTTTAAAATAACATTTAATGCACAAATTGGCTTGAAAGACAAGTACATTTAACTATAAGGCATCCACCGATCACAGGGCTTCAAAATCCAGAATATATTCTTTCTTTTTACTCCCTGCGATAAGCAGTTAGCATTTCCCCGATTAAGAACTTGCAATCTGATTGGCTGTTGCAACACTGCGACAGAAATCATGTATAAGTCATTGCGCATAATAAGATCACGTGATTCAGTTTAATCCGGTGCTTCCAAATTGGTTATAGCAGGGGGAAGAAGGAGGTACGGATTCTTGATACCTACTTAGGAGGATGACTATAAGGTTGAAATAAATTATTATAGTTACAGTAAAACCTGTCTAAGTGGAACACATTTGCTACTTCTAAATACTTTACTCCCTGCGATAAGCAGTTAGCATTTCCCCGATTAAGAACTTGCAATCTGATTGGCTGTTGCAACACTGCGACAGAAATCATGTATAAGTCATTGCGCATAATAAGATCACGTGATTCAGTTTAATCCGGCGCTTCCAAATTGGTTATAGCAGGGGGAAGAAGGAGGTACGGATTCTGGATACCTACTTAGGAGGATGACTATAAGGTTGAAATAAATTATTATAGTTACAGTAAAACCTGTCTAAGTGGAACACATTTGCTACTTCTAAATGATTCTTTAATCATTATATCAGTTGATTGGTCTTGGGACTCTGAAAATTTCAGTGTACCACTAACAGAGGTGTTGCACTTCTAGAGCTGAACAGGTTTCATTAATATGTTTCAGTATTGGAGGGAGAGATGTACCAACTGAGCCACATGTTGACTGAGCAGAAAACAATCATGAACAATATGATGGAGATGTCAATCACCAGCGATAGGAGTAAGTGCCCATCATGGTTTGTAATTGTATGGCATATTTCGGTGTTTTCTAGGAAGTTAGTTTCTTGTAGGATTGGGCAATGAAATCATCACAACAAAATAAGCAAATTAACTTGTCATTAGCAATAAATTAAACATATTAGAAAACATTGCTATTTTTATTTTGAATTTAATTTGAATGACTGGACAAAACATATTACTATGAATTATCTGTAGAAACTCCAATTTTCTAATTGTATACAGTATTAGACATCGTCAATATCCTACCTTTTGATTAGGGGATCTCAGGGAATCTTCCCTCACTCCTCTTCTTCCCCTTTTATGATTATGTAAATGATCATCTGTGCTTCCAGCTGATGGACCAGTAGATCAAGATCCAAAGGATGAAGACAATACGAAAAAAAATCTTGCATTTTTGCTTGAAAAGGTGGAAGGCTGTTCCGTAAGTTTTTTTTTCACATCTTCTCCTCAATTATAAAGAAGCAGTATGATTATTTCATCCCATAATTATAACAATTTTTTGCTTAAAACCCACACTTTCTCTTTTAAAGAATCCATTCTCACAACATTACTCAAGTTGTATCTAGCTGATACTCTTTGAGTGTATCATGCTTTTGATTTGTGTATTTTGTGTCTCATTTTTTGTCTGTTTCATTTTTTAATGAAAAAACAGGTGTCACGGGCTCAGCGTCTTAACTTTTATAAGGTATTAACCATCATTTGAGGACAAATCACGGCTCCGAAGGAGACACATTCCTCAGCTCATTGCATGGATTACCACCAATCACACAGAGGCTTTGTAATCATACTGACTACCAACTACATAATGTTTTAGCCTGTAACATTGCATCTATAATACTTGTAGAGCATCACAGATGTCCCAGGCCGATATCTTGTTCATAATGGAGATCTTGTAGAACTGGAACCAGAGTCATTCACACAGATACAGAAGGTTCATGCATTCTTGCTAAACGACAGTCTCATGATAGCATCTTGTCTTCAACACAGGTGAAATGATGTATTATTAGTAATACGTTAAAGAGACAAATCCACCTGCAATTTTACCTAAAATATACCTCTTAAAGATCAGGAAATTTTATCACAGAATGCAGTTTAAATGATGTTATTGCAGGCTTTTTACTCTCCATTTTATCACATTTGACCCTCTATGTATTCCGATGGGAGACTTAACAAGTCACATATATTCAAAGAGGTAATCACTAAGCTTGATTTCAGAAATGGCCCAGGAAAATACAAGTTCCAGACAATCTATGAATTAGATGGGTTTGCCATTGTCAACCAAAGGGACATCGGTCCTGTGAAGAATGCCTTTAAAATACTCATGTTCCCAGATACGAGGATGTACCAGTGTGAGAACCCAAAGGAAAAGGTAGCACTTTTTTGTGTGTCCTTATGGCTGTAGCCAAGGACTGTAACAGAATCATACCTATAGATATTTATGCACTTTGGCCATAAGGCATTATGGCCATCAAGTCTCTTTAAGTTTTGGCTTCACTGTTGTTAAGTGTTTATTGATAAGAATATGAAAATGGAAGATTTTTAGAATGAATTTTCACATGGAACTGCTGTTCAATGTTTTGGTTAGTACTGAATCCCATAATAATACCTTTACAAAGCTTTGCCATCTATCATTCTGGGTATTTTTTTCTCGTGTCAATCGCTTGATAAAGAACAATTTATACATCTTATAAATGGGAATTCTGATAGCCTATAATATATAGGCTTTGCTGAACACTTTACATGTACTTTGTCATTTCTGAAAAGAAAACATTGGCAACATAGAACACTTTTTTTCAGAGAAATTGGCTAGATATTCTTGAGTCTACTAAACGCAAGAAGGCAGAGCTTGATACACAAAAGAGAGAATCTTCAATATCCCAGGACAGAAATTCATCTATTTCCTTCAATGACAGTCGTAAGTTAAAATCATTAAAGGGTACAAATATTACCAGAGTGTTTTAATGTTTATATAAATGATCTTAGCATATCTCTTTGATAAAGCAAAGATCTGATGTTCATCTGTACTGTTACAAAACTATTTATTTTTAAGTACATGAAACTTATTTCATTTAGAAGATGTAGAATATCACCCATCCTCTGTCATGTGCATACACATTTGTATTATGAAAAAAATATATGGTAAATATTCACATACTGTTAATTTAAATCTACAGCATTTGGGGAAGAAGATGAACTGGAATATCAATTAAATGTTGCTATGGAAACTGAACTACTTAATGTTAGCTGGTTACAAGATCTCCCAGAGGACCTTGATGTATGCATGGCGCAGAGAGACTTTGAAGGTGCAGTTGACCTACATGAACGAGTCAATGAATATCTAGAAGGAGCCCCTAGATCATTAGCATTGAAAGAAATTCAATCTCGGATAGACACTCGGATTAATCAACTGACTGATATGTTAGTTGCTGAGTTAACTGTGTCACCAGAGCGTTCGTTGAGGGGAGGACCACGAGCGGCCAGGCGAGCAGTTACACAACTTATCAGACTTGGCAAATCTGCTTTGGTAATTTTATAATCACTAAAAGAATGCTCTATTCAATCTGTCATTCAGAACCGTATTTCATAAACTGCATATATACATATTTGTTGTATTGTAAATGTGAGCACATGTACCCTTTACTGGAGTTAGTACTTTTAAAAGCTAAATTAAATACATGTAATTAAAAAGGTCATAATTTGGACTATGAGCAAAGTTGTCAATAAAACAAATGGTATGAAGTATACCTGGAACATAATATGATGCAATAATAATCCAACTATTAATATTTTGATATTTTGAAATATTTTCAGGCTTGTGATTTATTTCTACAAAACCGCAGTGCAATAACCAAATACAACATTCGTCAACTGAAGATAGAGGGCGCTACCACCCTGTACATCAAGCGACTCTGTGGTGTGTTCTTCACTAGTCTCAAAGATACGGGGACTGAGTTCCTCAAGGCATTTCCTGACAACTATGGATGTTATTCTGGTATGTTAAATTCAAACAGGACTGAGTTTATCTCACCATTTCTTGAATAAAAGTGTCGGATTTAGGCAGTTTGTAATCAAAATAATCATTGTATTATCATCATATTAGTAAGTATTTAATAACTTAATTAAGGTAATTTTTTATTATTCTTTATTATTAGTCTAACATGTCTTTTTATTGTATTTCAGCTTTTGTTGCTTGGGCTAAAGAAGAAATCAAGATGTTCATGGATCTTTTCAAAAGACAGGTGTTCTCTAGCAAGGCAGGGCTCACTGTGGTGGCAGACTGCGTCAATGTAGTCAGGAAACATTGTGACCAGGTATTACTAGTTAATGGGAATCAATCCCTGCAACATTGTTCTGTAGGTTAGAATGTTCATGATCTCATTAAGGTGTCATCGCTTGTGGGTTGACAATGAACAGTATTTAAGAATTTCATTTTGACATTTAATTATTATAACCAAAATAAAATGGAAAATAAAACTGTCATGTCTCTTCAAATTGAATATAAGCAGTTGGATTAGATCAATACAATAAATGTACACTAGGCTTACTTATCTGACCAACTTGTTCTGATAGTGTTAATCTTCATGCTTATTGTGTTGTGTTCCAGTTGAGTGACATTGGATTAGAAATGACTTTTACACTGAACTCACTGCTGCTAGTAGATCTAGATAGAACAGTGAGGGAGAACAAAGACTATATTCTGGATACAGTTAAACACAGGTCCAATGTAAGTTACAGTTTAATTTAATACATCACACTGCTAGCCAGGTGGGTGCCACATACATCTTGTCATTAAAATTCCAGAAAAAACGCTTATCCATTCAACTTGAAATTTTTATCTAGCAGTGTGAGAAATAAGCACTCGACAGTCGACAAATTTTGAGTCTGAAAAAATATTTGTCAAGGCCTTTTCAAACGTTCTGGTCAAAATTGTCGGGAGAGATATTACAGAGACGTGATCGTATCTTCGCTCTTTGCCTCTGGCATATTACCTACTAACAGACCTAAGTAATCATCGAGATTTTAGGAGAAATTGTCTTCGATGTTCGAAAATTATTTTCATTTTTCATTCCGCCTAGAATACGATAAATTTGTGATGGCTTAAAAATTGTGAACACCTTTCAATAAAACAACGAACGCATGTAGTTTTGCTACTAAATAATAGCTTCCGGTCGCGGTTTTATGCTGCAGAATGATTCAATTTTCGAAGCGGTAGACATAATACTGCATACAGTTTGCAAGGCGCTAAATAATACGATCTATCCCAGGATCAAGTGCAGGCAATTGAGAGAGGGTTCTTTACAAGGAAGTTAACAAAAACAAACAGGAGGACAAAACTTAGCTTTGCCCAAGTCGGTATATTACTTATCTGATCTTGAATTACTATCGCCTTGTACAATCCAATACATCTCTGCTGATATTATGCTTCAACGGTTTCGAGATTTCCATAAATACCTACGCTATCAGGGGTATCGCGAAACCTTATTGATTGACAGATATCGCGTGGACACGACGTGTGACTTCAGGCTGAATGACCAATCAAAACGTTATTGGGTTGAGCTTCATAAACAAAACAAACTTCCCATCTACGACTTGAAATTAAATGATCTGATCGAGTTTCGTTAGAGTTACAACTTACAATATATTATGTAATTAAATGTACATTGGAAGGTGAGAGTCATTAATATAAATTAAATCATGCGATTCAATGTTGATTTAAAACTGATTTCGCGATGAAAATGCACTAAGACCTAGTCCAATGTAGCGGGTCATGTTGTCGTCGATCGGTGATTGAATCTCAGCCTACATGTTCAGCGATCGTTTCAACGTTTATTGTTGAAATCTTCTCACCTCCGGTTATCCGATCGATGCTCCGGCATCCACTAAGCTCTGATTGATATTTATCTGATAAAATATTTGTATTTTCATGATGAGTTCGTGCAAGATTTGTTCCTGAAAAGTCCCGGTGAAAAGTGTATTTGTTTTTGACCGTGCATAATAATGAGCTACCGTCGTTGATTGGTTAAATTTTACCGACATAAACATTGGGTCGGTAAAGCACGTGGCTTTCTCTTGAGTACAAGGCGGTCATAATAGAAATCAAGATAAATAAAAGAGACTGACTTGGGCAAGGCTAGACAAAACTGTCAAATAAAAAACTGTGTGCTTTAATGAAAGTTAAACTCGGAACACAGTCATTGATCAATTCAGTCCTAACAATTCCATTGATCATTGGAGGAATGTGTGTAAGAGAAGGGAGAGACTTGGTCTGACAAGGATGAAAATGAAGGACAGGGATATGAGTGGGACAGGTACTGATGTGAATGATAGTGTACCAGAGGAAAGGGAAGATGACAGTGTGAAACTGGATGAAGGTAAGGATGCTTGTGTGATTGATTCTGAGGATGAGAATGTGAATGTGGGTGCAAATGTGAATGTTGAGAATGATGTAGTGGATGATGAGTCAGAGGACAAGGGATTTGAATCTGAGTGTGACATGTCCGAAGAACAAGTCATTGACAAACTTAAACTCATGATGAAAAATATGTAACACTAAAACATGTACAACATGTATAGGCCTAATGCATGAAATAAAGTTCTACAGTTATTAATTTGACTTTTAGTATAATTAATATGTATTTTTATATACTGCAAGATGAATGATTTATTCCCTCACCCCTGGTGTATGTATTTCATTTCATTTATTTTAAAAAAAATTGTCCAATGTTTTTTTAAACTGACTGGTCAAAATTTTGACCAGTCAAAAAAAATTTGTCCAGAGTGTTTTAAAGTGACTGGACAAATTTGTCCAGACACCAAAAATGCTTATTTCCCACACTGTCTAGATCTGATTAGGTTTTATGCATGTTGGGTAAATTCATGGGGCCATTTTGCTATTCAAACTGCAATATTTATCACTGTGTTTTATCGTTTAATCATTAGGAGGATCAATGGAGACCACTTAATCTTAAAAACACTAAAGCAGTGAAGACATTCATGGATGAGATGTCTGAGCTAGGAGTTGATGATATATCAAAATATGTATATGGTAAGTAAGGTGAGAGGGAGGGGAATGTAGTTGTAATCTGTCATACAATTACTCTACCTCATCTTATTCTGAACATATGACAATGAAAGTATGTTTAATTCAATAGGTTTTGGGCCAATATAAAGATGGCAGCACCAGTAATATCCAATATTATCCATAATCCAAGGAGGATTGGCTCCCTGAGGGACGCCAATCAATATTCTGTTCCATATATGGGTATCACATAGTCATGTTATGAATACAAAATTCAATCAAGAATATTGGCCATTCTCCTTGCAGGAGTAGAAATATACAGGCAGGATCAGAAATTACCGCAGCGATAGGAGATTAAAGAATATCAAGTTGGAACCCTGGCTTCCAATCCTTGCTAGAATTATAAATAAACACAGATCGATTACCATGCCATCTTTATTTTAAAATTATTTCTATCGACCTCGGCCTATGTTTAATTCATACATGAAGTTGTTACCCACTCAGTACTTGATTTACATTTAATAAACATGAGTAAGGTTTGTCACAAATGAACAACGAATTACTAGTTGCAAATAAAGATTTTGTCTCAAATAAGTGCATCGCTAAAGCACCAGTCACATTTGCTCAACAGCAGCCATCTTCCGTAGCTTCACAAAATCGATATAGAAAATCTGCATCATTCTGCTTATCCCTATATTTTATGCTACATATTTCTCTCGTTTTTAGTAACCTATTGCCACCGTAGGGTTGCAGAGATCAGGTGTGACTGAGGCATTAGATATAATTCCTAACTGGTTTACCCAAAGATTCCCTTCATGCTCTACACAGCCAATCTCCAACGGTACCGTACAGTACCATACTCTTAATGTACCATACGGTACCGTGATTTTAGAGTGCGGATTGGGGGTGTATGCATGTACTAATATGTTTGTTTAAATATTCCTTTGCGCTTTGTAGATGAATGTTGGGTATCTCTCAGCCACAATACAACACAGTTCTCTAAGACCTACCTGACATTCCTGGATGATGTACTGAAACTCCATGTACCTGAGCTACATAATATGATCTCTGAAGCACTGGTGGACATATTCAAAGCACAACTTAGACATATTGAGCTATCCCTAGCTGGGGGCAAGTTTATATCAGAGGTAGGTGAAACATCTCAGCAGGGATAATTCTGAAAAATGAGCTTGATTAGTACAATGGAACCTTGATAATATAGCCATACAGTAGGGCTGGTAAACTTAATTCCTTATTATCTGGGTCTTGTCTGTTTCTCTGTTCTGTAACTATCTTGTTGACCCTGTTGATTATCCCTTGTGTAAAATGCAAATAATGGCTACCAGCTACTGGATTAATCTACAAATTTTTATAAATTAACCCATATTAATTTTCATAAAATCCATCAGTTGAAGTTGGAATAACGAACAACCAATTAGTCAATGAACAGTGGTCAGTGATCGCATGACTTTTAATGCCACTGTAAAGATCAATTATAATAAAGCCGCTCAATTGAATGAGCATTCAGATCATAGGTCATTGTTACTTGCTGCTGAATAGGCAAATAAACCTGTTATTTGGGCCAGCGTTTGGGTTTGAAGATAGAGGTGGCAGCTATCAAGATGCACGGCAGGTACTATTCATATTTAATGAGTTTGCCATCGTGCAATCAACTGGTAGTTGCTATTCGCATTCGTGTATACAAGGTAAGCTTGTTAACATGTTAGTGTATGGAAATATATTTGGTTCTTTTGAGAATTGTTCCTTGTTGTTGACAGGTGTTCCTTTCAGAAATGTGTTCCATCGGACAGGTTTTACTACATATAGTCTTTGTAGGGGCATACCTCAATGTGAAGATTTTTATCCCAGAGTTTGTTGGATGATAGTATGATCACACACCTGAGCATTTAGAATGTATCTTAATGGAAAAACAATTCTCAATCTTGATCTATGATCGATTCAAAGGTATTATTGATACAATGTCTAATTAGCGCTGTGTCCACTGTCCAGTGGCATAGCTACATGTACGCAAGGTATGCCCAGGTGTACACTCAGTTTTAGAGACAAATCATATTTTACAAAAGATAAACAAATAAATTCCTAAAAGGAAATAGATCTATTCTATTAATGAATTCAGTTTTATATTTTTCAATTTTATTTATAAATTGTTGTTGATAAGATTATAATATAATATCTTTTACTCCAGCCTAAGTACCGTATTAAGGTCGGCTGGGATTCTCTAAAATTCATTGGTCCATCATACTATAACAAATGACCAAATGAAATTATATTAAGGATAGTCTCTCAACACACATTTATTTAAGGCCGCTCTTAAAAAACACATCATTTCATCTTATTAATTGTATTTCCTTACTCTGCTGACCTTTCACTTTACTTTAATGTTTCAATACTTCAATAAATAATTGTTTTACCTTTGCATGACCTCGATCCTTTTTGAACACAATATATGCTCTGCGTCACATTGTAAAGAAATGCTTGTAAATATTTTGATGGAACATTAAACTTACTAAACTTACTATATTTCAAAATGATTACTGAAATTATATAATTTTTCATTTTCAAGTATATACATGTATTTACATCCTCCAACAGACTCAACAAATGGTCGATGAATGAAATGACAATGAGAAAGTACATGTTTACACATTAGCAATTTTCAATGAGATCTATTGTATATTTTCAATAAAAACTTAAGATTTTATGCTGTACTTGTTTCTCATGCATTTTTGATGATTTGAATATTCAGGAATGCATATAAAAAAAAAAATGCAGTGTCACATTTGGTCTGTATTGTTCATCCATTTAGCGATTGATGTCTGGAGGCTCTTAATATGTTATTGTTTGCTGTCATATATCTATATATATTTCTGTTATGACCCTTAGTACGGTCCTTGCTGCACTGACATCAGGTGTATTTACAAGAAAACAGATTAAAACTAAATGGGCTGTCTGAGGCAGTCAGGAGGAGGTACTTAAAAAACAACAGAATCATCCTGACTGTGACTCCTTCATACACTTTCAAAACAGTCTTGCTACGCCTCTGTTGTCTATTTATGGGCATTCAATAAACTACTAAGAGCTGTGATCACTTTTTAAAAACTTTATTTCTTTATTCTTTGTCTTTGTAAAGTCAAACACCAATACAGTAGCAAAGACATTAAGATATAGCTTTTTACAGTCAATATTTCATTTTTTTAACAAAATATTCATGTATCTTTGCATAATATACCATAGATGGTATGTACTATGTACCCATGGAACAAAATTTTCAATTTGGGGATTAGAAACTTCTCTTGAAAGATTCCGGCATTTCTGATATGAACATCATGTCTGTAGGCAGACATTACATGGGTTCTCTCCAGGTCATATTCAGTTTAAAGAAACTTATTAGACTTATATCACGTTTTCCAAGTTCCCATCTTGAAACTTCTCACCCCTTTTACAAATATCACCTGATTCTGATGTGCGTACAGATGCCTCTGGACACTTTCCAGGTCAGACATGCTAAACTACACTGAGATTTTAATTACACGTATATCGCCCGAGACAATCATCTGTGAAATACAAAACACATGAATATCAGAACCTTTTCAGAAAAATCGAGGTATGAGCAAGTTTAATGAAAGTAATACATTCTGAGAACATGCGTTTTATGGTGAAATCTACTGTATTCAAGAACTGATGTCAAAACAATGTTAATTCACAGATATATAAAGAACCAGGTATGTTATGGCAGGTGATTGTAGACAGTCTCATCTTAATCCACAAGTATTTTCTTGCCATAACTACGCTTTTTATTAAACCTATATGTTTTCCTCCAAGTTACCCTTGGTGTCAGAGCCTCTGTAATACATCAGATGATGACGAAGCTGTCTTTTAAAGAACCAGAATCTAACTATTGGTTAGGGTTCCTTCAAGTAAAGTCCTAATAGGGATGATGAAATCTAATAATACTAGATTGGTGAAATTGAAAAAGTTCAATTCAAGACTCCAGATTACAGACTAGGTTTTATCATGGAAAAATCTTAGACTCTGATATGTGCAGCATAGAATGGCTTATTAATCCAGCAAAAAATTAAGCAAAACAAAAACATTAGAAAAGTAATGTTTGCCATAGTAATGGGAAATCAAGGCAAATGGGCAAATAAAGAATTGAGAAAATGATCCTAATTAACCTGATGTTTACATACATAATAAATTCTCATATATTATCAAACACATTAAAATGTAAACTTGAATGTGTTGTTAAGTGCTTATTAAACACTTTTGAAATTGATCATGTGAATTGTGTGATACCATAGGGGATGCTTACATGCTTCACTAGATGTGATACCAGGCTCTGAGACTCAAAGCTTAATGATCAAAAACAATGTAAGATAATGCAATAGATGCAGAGATCTTTAGAAAAATAAAATTCAAACTGATAAAAAGTTATGTTAGGTTTGTAAATCCTTTACTCAGACTAAAGATGATCTAAAACAAACATATCAACAAAGATATCCACAAAATTACACACTGTGTGTGGTCTGAACATATTAAAAATGAACTATAAGGGGAAAAATCAACTTTCCCCAGAATATTTAACAAAACAGTCATATGGTCTAACATCACTTCTAATGAAGCATTGCAATCATCCATTATGAGATCACACCATTTGCATGACCATTATGATAGTTCAAACAGTCAATAGCACATAGTATTGAACAATAAAATGTGTTTGATAGCTTATTTGTTAACTTATTATGTATTACACAATGTTAGTGAGGGCTATTTTAGCAAGGCTTTTTATGTGCCCTCGGAGCCTTGATTTCCAGTTACTATGGCAACCATATCTTATGTAATGTTTCTGTTACACAAAATATTTTTTTGCTGAACTAATTCAACATTCTATTGTTGCACTTTCTGTGAAAATTTCATTAGAATATATTGAAAAATAAAAATAACTAGACTTTGGAAATTGAACAAGTTCAATTTCAGACTCCAGATTCAGATTCAGACATCCAGAATAAGCCGAGTCATCCAGAAAAAGATGGATGGATGGATGAAATAGGAAGGAGGGATAGGATAGAATAGGAAGGAACGATAGGGTAGAATAGCAAGGAAGGATATGATAGGAAGGAAAGGATTGGAAGGATAGATAGGAAGGATAGGATAGGATAAGAACGGATAAGATGGGAAGGATAGAATAGGGTAGAATAGGAAAGACGGATGGGATAGAATAAGAAGGAAGGATAGGATAGGAAGGAAAATATATGAAGAAAGGAAAGATAGGAAGGATAGGATAGGATAGGAAGGATGGATGGAAGAATGGATGGATTTTTCAACATTTTCTTCACTACTCTTGACTTTCTATCTGGATACCATCAGATCGATTTTTCTCGAAATTTAAAAACGCCATAACTTTTGGAACCGGAAGTCGGATCCAAATTTGGTTTGCAGATTCGGATTGCTGAGAAAATTCTACTTTTAATTCATAACTCATATGTTAAATTTGGAGAACTTTTTATTTTGACCTACTTTTCGGACACCATACCTCAAAAGTGGGTCAAAATACTCTCTGACGGCAAAAGGCTAACACTATTAGCACACTCTTTGCTACATGTATACACAATTTCGAAGAATATAATTAAAGTGTAGTGTCAGAATCGCAAAAATAAGGAAAAACTTTGAATTTGACCTAGATTTTGACCTAGGCATTTTGGTGTCCAAATTTTGAAGCTAGATGGCTTTTGAGGTTCCATTCTTTTAAAAGCTTTCATTGTATTTAGCTGAACTCTATCTATCTCTAGTCTATATTTTCCCATTGACTTAACATGGGCACCAAATTTAGCGATTTTTGAGCATTCAAAACGCAATAACTTCTGAACCGGAAATCCGATCCAAATTTGGTTTGCAGATTCGGATTCCTGAGATCATTCTACACTTATTTCATAACTCATATGTTGAATTTGGAGAATGTTTTGTTCTGACCTACTTTCTGGACACCATATCTCAAAATCGGTAACAGTAATCAAAAATCTGATGGCACACTTATGAAAGGGCTGTTTCTAAGCTACATGATGAAAAAAAGACAAAGTTGTTTCGATAAATAACGACGAAGATAATAGACAGATTTAAGATTTGACCTAGTTCTTGACCTTTGACCTAGATAAAAAATTGACCCAATTTCCAAGAAACTAGATACTGGACCTAAATTGACCATATACAGGACTTGACTCAATGTCTTCTAGTTAAGGAGAAAACGTGTGTAGAAGAATAAAGAAGAAGAAGAATACTGACAAAAGTAATAGACTCCAGATTTCATCTGGAGTCTAATAAAGAGATATTATGAGAACTTTATGATAACTCCTCTTACAGTGTATATATATTTCAAAAATTATCAATGATTTTTCAAGGTCATAGAATGTTAACCATAGTCAGATTTTTATTTCAGATTCAGTATCCTGAGCAAATTTCCTATCAAATCGATACTAATCATGATGGATTTGGAGAACATTGAAATTCACCCTCTTTTGAGTCACTCAAAATTGGTAATATTTTCATCAAGACATAGAGTGAGGAAAATGTTGGAAATACAAAAAGGAACTTAAAATTAATTACATGCAAGAAATTTCATGAAATATTGAAATTAGGTGTGATAACAGTGAAAATTATGAAAATGACCTAGAATCTCATCTTGACCTTTGAAACTAGAAATCTTAACAGATTTTTTTCGAGGTCCTCACCTCTTATATTAACTTATTTTTAAGTCCAAATAAAAATTTAAAGAATTGAACTTTTTAACTTTTAAAGTTCAAAGAAGGTCAGTCAGATTTCAACTTCTAGTTCAGATTTGGAATCCTGAGCAAATTTCCTATTAAATTGATACTGATGGATTTGGAGACTTTTTTGCTGACATATTTTGGGGACGCCATGTCTCAAAAATATGTAAGAGTAATCAAAAAATGGATGACACACTCTTGAAATCTCTCTTCCTGAGTTACATAATGAAAAAAAATCGAGAAAAGAAAAATTGTAGATAACTGGCTATATAGATGGCAGTAGCGGTTTTGGTCAGGCTAAAATAACATACATACAATAAAAATAATGTAATATGGAGAATACGTCGCTTTGTTTCTTGATTTATCAAATATTTTTCAATTGGATTAATATTAGTAACAAGGTGCTAGATAAAGTCATGATATAAATTAGAAATATCATGAGAATGTAGGAAATATGATTAAATAAATGAAATAAGCACCTTCATTAACGACAGTGAAGGCAATGAGGCCATTGATGAAATGCATACCTGAACTAATGAACAATTAGCAAGTGCAAAACATGTTATTATTATGCCTCATTGATTAAGAAATCATTTCTCAAATTGTCATTCTAGATATATGATTTAGTGTAATTAGTATTGACTAGAGAGTTGAATGTCTCTAAAGCGTAATACATTACATTAGATATCTTGTAAACATGTGTCTTAATTAGGCATATCAGGTGCTACTGCTACGTCCATGCCAAATTGGCACCTGTCATAAAACTGCCCAAGGTAGATATTAAAAGTGCTCATATGTACATGGAATGGAAAGATACTATCATTTGCTATCTTTTCAAATTTTATATTCTAAATCCAAAAGTGCTGCATTAAATTGTACAGGCAGCAAGTGTCATAATGTCTAGAAGTTGTGGCAAAATATCTCATAAAATTAAGAAATGGTCACAACTTTAATTGCCGAAATATCATGTATCATGTATCTCTTAAATAAAGGATTCAATCAATATGCTTATTTTTTAAGTTAACAATGATGTCTACAAGTTGTCAAAAAACTTTTTTTGGTCCTTATTGGTTATAAGTCTAAAAGATCCTAGATCAATTTGCTAACAATAATAATTGGTTAATCTGAATCATTGGATCAAATCCTATGTTAAAGACTGATGTGAAAAAGTCACTCCACCTTGGAAATTACACATGTACCTCGTTTTAAAGGTTACACTTTCAATCTTCAGTCTAAACATGGCTTTTAAAGGTTCAACAATGGTATTTTGAAAACATGTATAGAATGTGAGCCCAATACCCATGGACCATGGTGCTATTTATTAGAATTTTTGCGATCTTCATTGAAAATTTTACCTTTCAAAGGTCACTGAAGGTCAACCAAAGGTCAGATTAAAATCTAATCTGATATGAACTCTTGGAAACTTGTAGATGATTTTAAATAAAATTGGTTCAATTTGGAGCAAGTTATTCAAATCAAATATCTTAAAAATGGTAAAACTTTCATGAGACACACTATAGTTGGGAGAAATAGTAGAGAATGCTTAAATTAGGAATACTAATAGACAACTTTGCAACCATTAAACCTTTGTGGCAGACCAGAGATCTTTAAAGCCGAGACTTATGTTACTTTATTATCAAGGAACTCTATATTTGTCCATCCTTCAGAATACATGTATAACATTAATGCCTATGTTTAAGTGTTTATTATTTTTAGTTTGATTATTAAAGGCCCCATGTAAAGTTTAAAAGACTTTGGCTTATATTGTAGTCTTACTAAATGTTATCAAAAGTCTAAAACTAAATTTTAGAAATTTGAGTAAATAATGAGAATTTAACTCATTCATGCATCAAAGTGGTTCAAGAAAAATGCATTTCAAAATATATATAGTTAAAAAACAATATAGTTTAGGATATTTAGAAAAGATTGACATATAATTTTTTTGATTTTTTCAAAAAAGTTTTGCCGCCTGAGTGAGATTACAATGATATGACATTTGTTATTGAAACAGTATGTCCTTTGTTTAATCTTCGAAATGGTATTAAAAAGTTAATATGTTTGCACTGTATAGTGGAATATTTGATGATTAAAAAATGTCAACTTTTATTTTGAAAAATGCAGGGACATTTGAGTATTTGAGAAATGAAAAGGTGGCAGCTTTTTTCACAATTTTATGAAATATAGTAAATGAATGATTAAACATATTTTCAAACTTTACTTGGGGCCTTTAAGTATTTAGTCAGTGTGAGGACTGTAAATAATAAAATATATACAGTAAGAAAAATATACATGTATTTTCCCTTTATCAGGAAAAACAAAATATCTGTTCAGTGTATTATAGTGTAATTGCAATATTTTATTGACATTTCAAATCAGTTACATGACTTAAAACACAACAAGAAACATAACTACATCTACAACCATGCTTTATTACAAAATTCATGAAGGGTGATATGCACCTGAGACTAACATAGATTAGGTATGTTAGTCTCAGTATGCACACACTCCTCAAATCAATCTTTTATTCATTTATTGGTCCTTTGAAAAATATCTATTGAGATGAATCCAATAAAGTGAACATTAACAAACAAAAATATATACATATATGTATATGATATATACAGGGTGGGCAAAAAACCAATACCCAAGTTTAAAGATGAATGATTCAGTGGTGTCAATTTTAACCTCTAACTCCACAAGAAAACAACGTTTTTTCAATCAGATGGTATCATATTGTTAGGAAATGATTTATCTTCAAAATTATATACAATACATGATTTAACATGTATCATATGTTATTCATCTTTAAACTTGGGAATTATTTTTTGGCCCACCCTGTATATATAACATAATTACAATTTATATCACTAAGGAGTCTACAAGTGCTATATTAACTTGAATAAAATGCTTTTATATCAATTTTACATAGTAGATCTCTTACACTTTCGTAAAATAGCCACCATTTACATACATAGTACATGTTCATCTCTGCTTGTGATAAGAGGTATGATATTGTTAATGATAGGTCGTTGATAGATTTTTCCAATAAGTAATTGAATAGCCAAAGAGCAGTGTTTTTTAAAATAGTGTCAGCAGACATTTTAGTTACTAAAACACCAGTTATGGTTTTAACAAACTAGATGCAAGTAGAAATAATCTTTACATCATTTACATCATTAAAAATTCTAAACTCAGTCAAAGTGATATCATATTTGAAATCTACAGGCAAACTACATTTAGAAATGTGGTTATGAGCTTTGAAAATTTAATTTTCTTTGAAAACGTGACTTCTAGGTAAAAAAAAGTGATATATCTTTTCTTGTATTGAATAGATTATATTTTCTTTTACTGGACATACGTGTATTTTAATTTGTATAACTATCAGAAACATAAGGCTAATATTAATTGAACCACTAGAACTGATGAATATTCAAGTTAAGGGAAGTTTCTAATATACCTGCCATGTTATTTGACCTGAATAAGCCTGGTGATGAAACTGGTAACTACTCACATCTAGGTTATTAAGGAAATAATGAATATGTACAGTACACCAGTACACACCACCACCTAAGCTTAAATGATAAAGGGTCTTATCTTGAATCATCTGAATTCTATTCTATTGAAGCCCCATTTCGTTTCAGCTTAAGAGCAGCCAGCAGGGCATTCTTAAATTCCCTGTTGCGGATTGCATAAATCCAGGGGTTCACTCCACTATTTAGCGACAAGATGTGTCCTGAAAAATACCTTAATGTCCCGTACCATTTAGTGCTTAGTTCGAGTGATGATATTAACAGAAATTGTCCATACATAATCATAAAAACAACATTGACAATGATAGTGGCTTTCATAATCGAGTGCTCATTTTTGTATGCAACAGCTCTAGCATTATCAATGCTGGCTAATTCACTTATTATCTGGGCTCGATGCTTGTATGCAACCCAAGCGATCTTCGTATAAACAACAAAAATTATAAGAATTGGGACAAAAATGTTCAGTTTGATAAACAAGTAGTAAGATTGCTCGATGACATTGTCATTTATACATTGTTGCCCAGTTTCATACACATTTAAATCATTTATGAATATTACAAGCATCATTGACAGTACATACACCCATATGCTTACAATTATGATCTTTGCATTTTTTACGGTCATCAGGCTAACGTAACGCAGTGGAAATACTATAGCTATGTAACGCTCTATGGCAATACCTATCAACCCAAACACTGACAATAACAAAAATAATGTCAACAAAAATGCTTTCACTATGCAGTAGTACTTGTTTTGTACATAATTGCCTGTAAAAAGAGGTATAATGTAGTTAATAGTCATTGTTATTGGCAACACAATGGCACCAGTTAAAAAGTCAACCAGTGAAAGATTCACGATGAAAAGACTTGTAACTGAACGAATTGACTCTATTTTGTAAACTGTCCAGAGGATTAGGCTGTTCCCCACAGTGATAAAAGAGATGAGGAAAATGGCAATTATGAAGTGTACCCATAGTTCTTGAATTTCGTCAGCTGTTATGCTTGTGGTGTTGTTATATATGCGTGTATGGTTAGCGTCAATCATTGGTCCAAGCGTACTTTGAATTTCATCAGCTATTATGCTCGTGGTGTTATACATGTCTGTATGGTTGGCCTCAATCATTGGTCCAAGCGTATTTTGAATTTCATCAGCTATTATGCTCGTGGTGTTATACATGTCTGTATGGTTAGCGTCAATCATTGGTCCAAGCGTACCTTGAATTTCATCAGCTATTATGCTCATGGTGTTATACATGTCTGTATGGTTGGCTTCAATCTTTGGTCCAAGCGTACTTTGAATTTCATCAGCTATTATGCTTGTGGTGTTGTTATACATGTGTGTATGGTTGGCTTCAATCTTTGGTCCAAGCGTACCTTGAATTTCATCAGCTATTATGCTCGTGGTGTTATACATGTGTGTATGGTTGGCTTCAATCTTTGGTCCAAGCGTACTTTGAATTTCATCAGCTATTATGCTCGTGGTGTTATACATGTGTGTATGGTTGGCTTCAATCATTGGTCCAAGCGTACCTTGAATTTCATCAGCTATTATGCTCATGGTGTTATACATGTCTGTATGGTTGGCTTCAATCTTTGGTCCAAGCGTACCTTGAATTTCATCAGCTATTATGCTCGTGGTGTTATACATGTCTGTATGGTTGGCCCCAATCTTTGGTCCAAGCGTACTATTCATCATGCTTATCTATCGGTTATAGCTTCTTCAAACCTTATAAGCTCTAATTTTCGAGTCCGCTGTTTGTTTGTCTATAACAAAGATAGAATTTTAAAAGATAACCTCAACACAAAAATTTTTATGTACCATTATTCTTATAATAACAACGATATAACATCACTTCTAAGCAAACCTTTGGAAAAGAATAAATATTGTATAGATATACGAGTATAACCTTAATATATGTCAAAAGGAAATCTCTCAGATAGGCTATGGACCTTAATTCTCTTTGATCCACTGTTGATGACACACTTTAACAATCTTATAACAAATCCCATGTCAAGAAATCATATAAACCCAACATTCTTCCAAAATATTAATGACAGTAATATAAATCACTCTAACTAGGCACATCATCACTTATAATCATATTACCATACATCACATATATTGCATGTATAGACTGTCGGCCATTAGGTCTAGTTACTGTACTCCCAGTATTTTTTGCGTGCGATTTAGTTTCGCTCTTTTCGCGATTGTGGTAAGATCTTCAAGAAATTGTCAATATCTTATAACCTGGAACTCCATTGCATTTCAATGATTTGTAAAACGTTTGTACAGTTTTATAAGGCGATAAATGAGATTCTAAGCAACTATGTCTTTTACAGTGTCTCATTAGATCAAATATACGAAAAATGACAATGTAATAGAGGTGTACTTACTGTACATGAGGTAACTTTATTTACAGAGCTTGAGGATTCAGAGAATAATTAGATTTTAACTTGTGAAATCCGGAAATTCAATAGCTGCGAAATCGTGTTTTCTCAAAATTTGCGACATTAAAACTCACGAAATTAACTGGGAGTACAGTATATATATATATATATTTCTTTTTAATGTATACCCTTTTTTCAACTCATGAATAACACCGATATATGCCTTTTGGCGTCCTGGTATTTATCGTGATGTAATTTTTGTAAATAGTTTTACAGATTAAGTAAATAAAATTAATAAATAAGTGAGCTTGGATAATTTGCTTGGTGTGAAAAAATCAACAGCTACACCGGCTGTTTATGGGGAGCTAGGACGTTATCCTTTAAAAATTCGTTTCAACATTAAGCTGATTAAACATTGGCTGCGTTTAATGAAATTTCCTGAAGAAAATATGCTCAATAAATCATATTTGTATGACCTTGAAATAAATGGTTTAGGTTACTCTGGCACTTGGTCCAGTAAAGTTATTGACATATTAAAACAATGTGATTTATTCTCTCATTGGTTGACTCAAAATGTTGAAGATGATTATATATTTATTCAAATGATCACAAAGAAATTAAAAAGTAATTATGCACTTCAATGGAAACAGGATATTCTTACTTTTCCTGTTCTTAGAACTTATATAAAATTCAAAAATACTTTCACCAAAGAATTATATTTAAACATTCAAAATAAAAAGTATAGACATACATTAACTAGGCTCAGGATGAGTTCACATAAATTACAGATAGAAGTTGGGCGGTACTCAAAACCAAAGCCAAAACCCACAAGTGAAAGGTTGTGTAGTGAATGTGGGGTAATTGAGGATGAGCTTCACTTTATCACAAGCTGTACAAAGAACTTAAAACACAGAGAACTTTTGTTTGAAACTTTAGAATCTGATCTGAAACAGTGCAAAGATCCAGATAAACTGTTTGAAACTATTATGTCTAGTAAAAGCTCTTATGTTAACTTACATTTAGCCAAATTTGTATATCACTCTTTTAAAAATTTGGAAAATGATTAATATTATGTAAACATTTTTTTTTAAAACACATGTATTATGGATACACCACACTGATATCATACCCTGACATGTGAAACTGATGTAAAGTAGTCTTGTAGTATGTAGTTGTAGTTTGTAGTTTTTGTACACTGTAGTGACTGATATGTCATTTACATGACATGGTTATTGAGTCAATAAAAGATATATATATAATGCAAGAATTTTTTGTAAACCAGTAGATAAAAAATTCATTGCGAAGTTCTACATGTGCTATCTGATTTTCTTATAGCCCGAGTGTCCCACAATGTACTGTGTTGTCATCTAATACTCAATAATACATGGACAGTGATTATAATTTGGTTTCAACTTTTTAGAAAAAATATACTTTGTATGAATAAGTGAGAAAAAAACAATTTTATTATTTTCAATCACTTAAACTGCTATTTTTATGCTTTCATACAAATATTTCTCAAAAAGAATTTGTGATGAAAATAATAATTGTTTTATTCTAATGGATTTTTGAAAATGGGTTTAGTTTTGGTGATTGTTCTATATGCAGCCCTAGCTATACAAAATGTCTAGTGTGTATTTTTAATTTTTTTCAATCAGTTAAACAACAAAGTAAATATCATCACGCCCGGTGATCGTGAATATAGGACGGAGGGGGGGAGCAGGCAATTTCTGCTAGGAAATTCAACAAATCTGGAAGATTTATTTTTTCAAGAAAAAGTTTACTATTGAATTGCTAAATGGATAGGCGCACGGTATGGTAGAATATGTTAGGTTTTCTGGGATTTTTTCTGAAACGATACGCATCTAAGGTATGAGATCTATTAAAAAAGGCGCAAGGCCATCAACAGGCACAAATCAACGTTTTTGCTATAAATCGAGCAACAATGGTCTGGACGACCTGTAATAAATACTTGTAAGTGATGTTATCATAACTAAATTAATGTCATTGCTGAATTTATGAAATAAGTTTCCATATGTGAAATAAAAAATAATCGAAAATAATGAATTTGGGACGAAGGGGGGGGGGGAGGGGACGGAGGGGGGAGCAATATGTATATAAGACATGATTAGAGATGTTTCGCGACTTTAAGTCCTTTTACTCCAAATGTCCCCATTTTTCAGTCTCCAGGGGTATATCATCCAGTTTCTTACTAAGTTAATGAGTTCATTTTTCAAATACAAGAATTCGTGTGAAGTTGTTTCACTTTATAGAATTATTACTCCCCCCCTCCATCCCCTCCCCCCCTCCGTCCCATTTTAATTACTTTCGATTATTTTTTATTTTACGTATGGAAACTTATTTTATAAATTCAGCAATGACATTAATTAAGTTATGATAACATCACTTACAAGTATTTATTACAGGTCGTGTAGTCCATTGTTGCTTGATTTATAGCAAAAACTTTGACTTTTGCACGTTGGTTGCGTTGCGCCTTTTTTAATAGATCTTATATCTTAAAAGAGTATCGGTTGAAAAATAAATCTAGAATACCTAACATATTTTATCATACCGTGCGCTTATTCAATTTGCAATTCAATCGTAAACTCTGTCTTGAAAAAATAATTTTACCAGATTTGTTGAATTTTCTAGCGGAAATTGCCTGCTCCCCCTCCGTCCCATTTTCACGATCACCGGGCGTGATCATGATGTAAAACAAATATAATCTTTCTAATCAAAAATAGTGGTGAAGTTTAATTATATGTTTAATTAGCAGTACTGAGAATTGTCTACTATTTTAAGTAGACAATTTTATTGTTTTTAGTAGACAAAAATAAGATTTCTCAAATACATTTTTGGAACAAAATCTTCAAAACATTGTATGTCTCTCCAGTGTTAAGTTCCATACATATATTGACATTATTGCTTATCCAATTATTTTCAAATTATCAGTTATCTTGCACAAAGTTTTTAATTTTTATTTTTAAAAGCGCTATTCTGAGAATCAAAGAGGAAGAATAAAACAAATTATTTTATATAAACCCATTTTAAAAACAATTTGACTAATTAAAAACAAAATTTAGACTTACCTTCTGCAATATGTATGATAATATATACAGTATATAGTGTGCTTTGATGCTCTGTAACGCTTATATGAAATTTCAGGAGCTATTACTTTGCTTATATACCAATGGAATCTTCAGAAATTAATTAAGACATCAGGAAGTTTCTAAAGGTGAACTAATAGGTCTGTATTATTTTCTGAATGAACTGTCCATTAGGGATAAAGTAAATTGATAGAACATTTTACACAGTGTTACTTATATCAATATATTTTGACAACTTGTTGACAACTTGTAGACACCCTTTGTAAGTCAGTTACAGTCAGAAAATAAGAGGTTTCATGATAAAAATTTGTAACAACTGTTACAGGCATAGCAAAACAACATTGTAGTTATTTGATGCAACGTGAAAAATATATGAATCCTTTAAAACAACAGACAATTTTACATTTGGCTTTGAATGCAATTTCGGTCTTTTAAAGGACAACTGAAATAGCTTTTCTCAACTTGCAGCTACAAAAATGCGGTTTTCTCCATTGTAAGCCCAACGTAGAGTTCTTGCGATAGCCATTATAAAATAAATGTTAGATAACTGCTAACGGTCATAAATAACGAAACAAAACTAACTGATCGATCAAATTGGCCCCCACGTGATAA